CACAAATAATGCACCAGACAACTATATTTCAATATTAGTCTAAATACTAGAACTCGTGGCCATATGTGGAAATTAGCGGGAGAACATTTTAAAACAAATTTGAGGAAGCACTTCTTTACACAGCGTGTAGTCAGAGTATGGAATAGTCTTCCTGCTATTGTAGTGGAAGCTAAAACCATGGGTTCCTTTAAATCAGAGCTAGATAAGATTTTAACAACTCTGAGCTATTAGCTAAGTTCTCCCCAAACGAGCCTGATGGGTGAATGGCCTCCTCTCGTTTGTAAATTTCTTATGTTCTTATGTATGTTATGGTTTATTATTTGTATTACTGAATTATATAGTTAGGGGTGACATAGTGGTGCAGTGGTTAGCACTGTTGCGTCACACCTCTGGGACCTGGGTTCAAGTCTCCGCCTGGGTTATAATGTGTGTGGAGTTTGCATGTTCTTCCCGTGTTGTCGTGGGGTTTCCTCCCACAGTCCAAAAACATGCTGAGGCTAATTGGAGTTACTAAATTGTGAATGGTGTGTGAGTGTGCCCTGTAATGGGTTGGCCCCCTGTCCAGGGTTGTTCCCTGCCTTGTGCCCATTGTTTCCAGGATAGGCTCCAGACCCAGTAGGATAAGCAGGTTGGATAATGGATGGATGGATACAATTATTATTATCTTATGAATGTATTAGTTTCCAGCATATAGTGTTTAGTTGTTCTTGTGGTCTTGAGGAGAACGTTTCTCGGTCTCCTTATGGCAAGGCAAGACAAGTAATTATTATCACAGAGGTTATTTAAATTAGATGTTCCTATCGGTTTGTTTTGTTTGTTTTTAACATTTTATCAGAAAAAAATGAACATTTGATTCCTGATGTCGTGTCCAGTTTTCTTTGTTTTTTTCCATCCATCTTTTATTAAGCACTGTTTGGTACCTCATGGCGTATGTAAAGTGTATTACATATTACAGTTCTGATATATAAGATTAATAACACAGAATTGTACACAGTATTTTTTTATTCTGTTTTACTCTTTTTACACACACACACACATATAAATATGGTGTGTGTGTGTGTGTGTGTATATATGTCATACATGTATGTATGTAACAGTGGTTATATAGAATAAACTAGGGGACGCGCATGTTAGTGAGTTATGATGGTTGCACAATTAATTTTTCCTTGGAATAACAGCGTAAAAAATAAAGTAGCATTGTCTGAACATCAGTGCTCTCGATACTACCACGGCCACGATGCTAATAATTACAAGAGTAACATTTAGTTTGATTAACTTGATCTGGTATTTAAAATCTAACATTTTAAATAAACCAATGGCCAGCCAAACAACATAAATATGCACATGTTAACATGATTAAGAATATTTCATATCGTTCACAAGACAGTAACTCGAAAACGTACCATTTTTAAACTTTATTAGCACTAACTTAGCAAGCAGGAAACGATACCCCGGTTGCACTTCCTGCGGAGAGTGCACGTTCTGAGCGGCTGCAGACAGACCCTTTTGGAGGCTTTGCCTATACAAACAAGGGCAAGATGTTACGCTGTTCTCCAAGTAAGGAAATTACCTTACCATGGCAGAGGGGTTTTCGTACTTCGGCCATCCACAGAGCTTTATAACTCGAGCTCCTGTTAGGGTCCCTTGATGATCAGGGGCTTCTATCACGAATCAGTGACCTGTACTACAAAGCGGGGTTACTGGCTTATCGGGGTAACTTGTTGGATTTAAGGTGGTCTGGGCAAAATGTAAGTGAACAAATATGAAACTCTGGTACCTTAAATCCGACAAGTTACCCCGATAAGCCAGTAACCCCGCTTTGTAATACAGGCCACAGGTCTTTTTTGCTTAGCCGGATAAATTGTCGGATTTAAAGTAGTCTGGGCCGAACGAAAGTGAACGAAGATGGTGTCCATTAAAGACCCCAGTGGCCTGTATCATGAAGCAGGATTTCTTGCTTGGCTGGATAACCTGTAGGATTTATATTGCCCCAGTTTAAATGGACCTTATCTTCGTTTACTTACATTTACAGTAGCCCAGACTACCTTAAATAAGACAAGTTATCTGGCTGGTTTATAGGCAGAAGCTAGATTAATAATAATAAGAATAAATGCCCCTGCGAGAGATCAAGAAAATCTAAAATACCATGCTCTGAAGGGGGGTGCTGTGACTCACCCTTTGAGCCAGGTTTGGGGGCAGTGTGTGTTAGCAAACATCTGATAGTCAGACCACCATGTAAACCCGGCAGGCTCAGTGGAAATGCCGCCTGGAGACGTTAGCTCACTGGCTGAAGGTCGTAGGTCATGGTGGGAAGCATGAGCAAGAATTCCAGATGAATCACACCTGGGATGTTATGTGTCAGGTAGATGGTCAACCACACAGGTGGGCTCTGGAGTCAAACCTCGCAATGGGGGGCGGAGGCTCCTACTCTAGAATTCCTCATGGTGAAATATTTCATGAGGGGGTGGGGATACAAGTACCAGGCAGACGGCTGTGCAGTTTTTACATTTTCTCAAAAATGTCAATAAATGTATTACATTTTTGCAGTAACAATCACAGTCACAATTTTTCACAGTACTAATTTGAATTAACAGCTTATGTAATCATGTAATGTTATACAATGTTATCCATTTTATGCGTTACATAATAAGTACATTTCAAAATAACATACGATTGTAACAGAATCACCCCCGTTTTATGGGACGCGGGTTCCATTGACAACAACATGGAAAGTCATTAACAGAAATTTAGCTCACATTAAATGGTGTCTAAATTTCACATGTCCACATATGCATTAGACTGATGTAGTACTGCTGTTCAAGTAGCACCATGAAAGGATAATGCTATATTGTGTTCCAGGTTATACTCAACTGAACACTGACGATCGTCCCCGACTTACAATCTATGCAGCTTACAAGAACTCGCATATATGAGCGAAGTTCGAGAAAAAGAACCAGCACGTCTAGCAGCCCTACTCTGCCTAGGGCACGTTAACCACACCGCATGACAGTTGCTGTGGGAAAATACTGTACGGCAACGGTACTGTCCCAGCCTTACACGCTTCTCCCAATCTCATTCTCAGAATGGAACTTAGTAATAATTCAGGGACAGTCTATAATTTTAAAACGCTAGTGCTAATAGTACCCTTGGGTAGCAGGGAACTGGCGTGTGGTACTACAAGAATCGGCAGCATTTCTTGACCAAACACTGTGCATAGTTTCTCAGGAGGTGCTTTTATATCCAGAACTGGAATCTACTGCCATGCAGTCATTACGTTCCCTGTATTCTATTATTGTACGTGTGTGAGCATGAACAGCCCACTAAACATCAGTGCTATGCATGTCTGCTCCAGCCCGGTGGGCTTGTGCCTCCTGGTGTGTCTCTGGAAACATTACACGACCAAGGGGAATCCGGTACGAGGACAGATTGTGAGCCGTCAGCAGCAGCATTAGTGAGACTGTGAGCGTGGCCGCCCAACTGCATGCTGGGAGGCCCACCTGTTACAAGAAGTGTTTGGGGTCAGTTGGAAAGGGAAATAGGTGTGTTACTATGCTGTTTTTTTACAGCCCTATCTGGTTAGTCAAGTGTAGCCAGTTCCATGGTAATGGAAGTAAGGTATTATTTTAAATATACAAATTCATAGATGAAACCTTCATTTCAGATTCCTGGTACTTTACTTACGGTTCCCAGAAGGTTGCTTAGGGCAATGTCTCCATATGAAGAGAGAAAAGCTGAGAAATGAGTGATATGAAAGGTTACCCTCTTCACATACAGCTGCCTGCTTCACCAGCCTTCCTTGTATTTTGCTTTTGTTGGTAGTACCACCACAGACGATCTGTGACATTTTCTGATAGATTTGATTTTCTGCAATTTCATTCTGTCATGTTACTGTAGAGATGAAGTACAGTACAGTACAGATAAAACTGGGTGTTACAGGAAACTGTGAATTAAGCTCTGTCCAGTCAAAATGACAATTAATGAGCTTTCAGTTCATTTCATGGTTCATTTCAAGAACCATTTTGCAAACGTCTTTGTCATTTGCACTTCACTTTTTCAGTGTCTTTTATGGCATTGAACAAAGAAATTTTGCAAATAGTATGACTATTTTGTCTTCAGATTCTCTGCATATGTCCAATACCTTAAGATGTTTTTAGTGATGGTGCTGTAAAAGTATTTGCAAATATATTTTGACTTTCTGTGAAAAAAAATCACATACAGTAATAGATTTAGATTTTAGAGGCACAGATAGATGTGCAGCTTTGTTGTTTGGCTATTGTCTGAAATTAAAAAGCAAAACCACACATATGGCAATTTTTATCCACTATATCAATGTCCGCTAAAGCATGGTCGTGTAAATGGATAGTCTACTATGACGATAGGTAGTGAAAATTTGCATCGTCACTACATTTACATAGTGTAAATAAATTGGAGCTTACTAAGCATCAGATCTGGTCACTGATGTGCTCACTGCTGTCACCTGGCAAGGCATTACAGCTATAGGCTGCACAGAGAATGGTCAGGGATAGGTGGACATCAATGCCTTTATCTGGTGTGTGAGGCAGCTTGCTGTGGCTGCTTAAGGAGGAGAGAGACGTGGGCTCAGATGCGACAGGACTGGTTTCCCCCACTCACCGCTGGTGATGGACAGAAGGTGGGTCTTCCAGTTGAACTTGAAGAACAGCCCCCCAACAGCCATGCAGCCCAGGGCCCCATTGAAGCCAGAAAGACCGGCGTACAGCCAAGTGCAGCGAACTGCTACTGAGAGCCCTGAGGTGCAGTTGGGGAAAAAGAAGTTCCGGTTGCTGTAGTCAAAACAGAGGCTATTCATCCGCCCCCAAACAGCCTCACGAGTTGCAGCGAGGCGGCGTCTCTAACTCTCAGCCAGAACGTGCTCGCTGCCGTCACCTGGCAAGGCGCTAAAGACACGCAGAGAATGCCTTGGATCTGATCTCACGGCCTGCTTTCGGTAGTTGTTCTGTTTCATTTAATAACATGTGCTTTCTTGCCCAGACATGGGTGTGCATGTTCTTCTAAATAAACTGCAAGTAGTGAATGGGTTGCCATGGTAAGGCATCTGCAGGGTCAGCTAAAATACTTTTTTAAAGGAGTGTGGAAATTTAGGAAAATACCACTTTTGGTATTACAAACATCCACCGGAGGTGCGAGGTGCCCAACAACGATTTCTAACATTCTCTGTACAAATAAGCATAGAAAAAGTAAAACAAACATCTGAGGAACAGTATCTTTACCCTCCTCTTAAAAGGTATTAAGATGGTGGACAATACAGAAAATTCCGAGCACTCTCTTCACATTCAGGTTTCTGACATGCAGGAAATATGCAGTATTGCATTTTAAGCTGCGGCGCATATGTAAAATGGAACCCTGTGAGGTATATAAGAAGGCTTAAGAACACTAAAATAATAAAGGGCATCAATAAACTGATCTTGTGTGACCTCTAAGTCAAACGATTTTATCAACAAGTACCTGCCTTCATGTTTGGGTGACCCACTTGTTTTTATGTTTTTCAATCTTACATCTTGCGTTAAATATAATAATAATTGATCCCTGTGGGGAAATTCCCTTTACGCCTCTGTAGGTGAGAGTAAGCTGGCTGCGAAGGGCAGCCATCCATAGCAGCGCCCAGGGAGCTGGGGGATAAGGGCCTTTGCTCAAGGGCCCGCAGACGTGCTGAAGCCGGACATGAACCGGTCACATGCACAGAGCCCACTGAGCCACACACTGCCCCTGCACATTTACATATATTCAGGCTACACTGCCTTAACCTCCCTGCATTCATGTGCACTGCATAGTTATTTACAGTAAAAGTGTTGTTTAGATGATCTATCTATCTATCTATCTATCTATCTATCTATCTTAATGGATGGATGGATGGATGGAACTTTATTAATCCCTGGAGGGAAGCTTGGGGTTTTTTGTCTTGCAGTGGATTATAAAAAACATGCCAGCACATTTTTTTCATGCTGCTTCACTGGGTCTTACCAGTTTGACATCCATCGCTGTAAGAATTACTTCATGAAAGCTTGGGAGCCAAAGTCTGAACATTTTATACTGCATGTAACCTAGAACCTGGGTCAGTCTCAAACACGGTGTGGTGATGGCAACTAGAGCTCCGGGGACTTGTTAAAACGATCACGCCTTAAAGCACACCTGGCAACCCGAGTGCATCACTACTCACGTTGTGCATTCATTTCGCTGAATACCAAAGTCCCCACCAGTGTTGTGTGGCATATCCCCCTACAACATGGTTATGACCGTGGCACAGTGGACCCAGTTGATGAACAATAGAGAGCTTTTGCTGCCCTGGTCAGAATGTGAAGTGGTCCAAACCACTGTGACTCACTGAACCAATTGTCATTTTTCATGCAAATAGTCTGAATCACCCAAGCTTTCGTGTAATTAGTGCAGTGTTTTCATCAGCTCCCAGCACGGATGGAAATGCTTCTATCATAATGACAAGACTCAAACTTATTTGGAACTCAATATCTGCAGGAAAAAAGTATTTTGTGTTACCGGCTACTTGTTTTTTATGCTTGATACACACTATTTTATGTATCATCTGTGTTAATTTTATGTTACTTTGCAAAAAAGTGTGCCAGATAGTTAAATGTATTTATAATCTGGATAATAATTAAGTTGTAGCACTTTGTAAATTATTAATAGACAGCTTAAAACAAGTTATAACACAGTTTTCTTTTTATTAATAAGTTACTACCATTTGCAAGTGGCAAACGGGAGCCTTATTGTAAAGTGGTGCCCCTTATTACTCTCCAAATGGTTATATACATTTTTGTGCTGCAATGTCAATGACCTGCATCACCATTGCAACTCTAATGCATCTTTTCATGAAGGTTGTCCTCATAAAGGCCATTGTTATAGCTACAGATCCATAAAGGCCATTGTTATAGCTACAGATCCATAAAGGCCATTGTTATAGCTACAGATCCATAAAGGCCATTGTTACAGCTACAGATACACGCCCCTACATGTCTGTTCAAAATTCCTTGTAAAATTCTTACAAATTCTTGTATTCTACAGGCAGAAGACTCAGGGTGGTCACTGTCATCAGTTGTCAGGTGATGTGTCAGGGCAGAGCACCACTGTAGACTGAGGCTGGATGACTTTCTCTCATCCTGCCCTGTCTCGGAATTGGGAGGGAGAAGAAATGGCTCAGAGTACAATGTCCTAAATTTTCATAAAATGGTTAATTACCTTCAATTGTCTCTGTTGACACTGGCAAAGCTTCTTGCAGGAACTGAAAATATGGTTTTTTTTTTGGCTTGCTTTTAGATGAGTTTTTAGTTTTCGTTAGCTTTTAGTCGCTTTTGTGATAAGCTTTCAGTGCTGTCGCCTGGACGACTCGCATCCAAGGTTGACAGTGGCCACGCTAGCTGGCCCAGACAGTCCAGAAAGGTCACGCTGTAGACTGTCAGTGATCAATGACTTATTATTACTCATTAGAGCTGAATCCGTATGACACTGACAAGCAGTGACAGGCACCATGATTCCCATGACTTGGTTTACAGTGGCCAAACTGGGGCCCCGAATAAGCTGAGTGTGTGTATGTACTGCGTCCAAGTCTCCAAAAGTGTGTCTATGATTAGCCACCTTCCCGTAGCCTCACTGTTCCCTTATTTGTTACTCTAAACCTCAAATATCTAGCGGTTTTATGAGATGCTAATTCTCTTATCTCTCTCTTTGAACACCGTATGGAAAACATAGTTGTGGCTTGGCTTTCTGTTTGAATGGGGGCGTTCCAACTCCCTGCCACCGGGCACGCGGCCTGTAAGATCCAGGGAGCATGACCTTGTGGTAATGAGTCATCAATGGGCCGGGCATCCACTCAGCTTGTTATCTCTGCCTCCCGCCTCTGAGTGCAGGATATTGCTCTGGTAGTTAAAATTCCATTTTGTTCAGGATGCCCACAGGTCTGCTCATCCTAGCATAGAGATTCATGTAGCCCTTTCAAATCGTCCTGTCAGTCTAACTTCACTTTATGCTTTGCTTTCAGTTTATGACTCCCATTCTGTGGTAATGTAAAGGCTTGACGTCATCCATCCATCTTCTGTACCCGCTTGACCTATGCAGGGTGGCAGCAGTGCGAAGCCTAACCCAGAAACAATGGCCACAAGGTCGTGAGTAACTTGTGTGAAAAGTCCTGGTGACCTTCTCACTGGCTGTTTCCTATATCACTTTTCTACAGTATAATTCCACACATCAGCCCCTGCCTTGCAGTGCCCCCTCGCACTTCGGCAAGCTGTCCCCTTTTAATGGGGCCCCCATATCTCTTCACACTTTCACCACTCTGATCTGAGAGCTGCCCCTTGTGGTAGCGGTACTGTAGCACCCATCTGCCCCCCACAGCTGAGCCCACCTCCCATCCATGACTCATTCACTCCCGCCCTGATGGTGTCAAGCAAAAACTACAGAAAAATAGTGGCTAAGATTAAAAGGTCCCCATTGAACTGCATAAATATTACATGCTAAAAGCCTATTGCTGCACCCTCCCACTTGCACGTGGGTTAATGTGACTGACAGGAAATGCTGAAGAATCCTTCTGGTATAGCTCTTTGTTTGAACCCTGAGGAGCATTCCTGCATTTTTTCTGTACTTCATACTTTGCGTGAAATATTTTTAGTTTACTGGTAACACTCTGTTGGAAGAGATCTGTGTGGTGCATTGTACCAGTATGTAACCTGAAGAACCTGACTCTGATCTGTGAGATCTTCTGCATCACATGTTCCTTGCACCAAAATGAGATCCCTCAGATAATGCATACTGTACATGTCATCTCTATTCACTGGTGGACCTGGTGGCCACAGGGTGAATAGTTTCTTTATCTTTTAAGCCTCTGCGTCTGTGATGTGGCCTCTGCACATCTGTGGGCCCCCTGACCCTCAGCTCCCTGGGCCCCACAAGGTGGCTGCCCTTCGCTGTGGCCCCCAAACTTCATGGAGAGCAAGATGGGGTAAAGCAGCAAGGAGAATTTCCCCATGTGCATTAATAAAGTATCACTATTAATTGGTTTTATTTAAATCCCATATGTGAAGCACTTTGAGCTGCATTCCATGTATGGAAAATGCTATAATAATAATAACAATAATAATAATTATTATTATATTCTGTTTTCCCCATTTCCAGTAAAGCCCCCCCACTGTCACCCACAAGCCATGCACGCCAAACGCAGGCTGACCCCCTCCTAACTCCCAATCCACTCACCTGCCAGCAATCCTGCCCCAGAGCCCAGCAAGGCGTGGATGCAGAGCAGGGGGGAGCCGATGAGCACAGCCAGGAGGATGAGCAGCGAGGGCCAGAGCTCCTCACAGGCATAAATCTGGCCCACACCCCTCACCACCCCCTGCAGGAGCTGAGGGAGGAACACAGAGAAAGACTCTGTCACTCTGGCAGCACAGGCTTCCGCCACCTTCATGTTCAACACCTTTAAGAACAAACACATCTGCGCCATTAATCACAAAATCCTCTGAAGCGCAGCAGTGCTGGAAAGAATATCTAATATCTCAAAAAGTAAAACGCCAAATCAGTAGCAGTGCCATCTAAGACTTCTTATGGAACTGATTTTAAAATTGATCAGTACAAATTATGAACTTAATCCTTTCATCTTCTGTCCTATTCAGGTTCACGGGGGTCTGGAGCCTATCCTGGGGGCTTCAGGTGCAAGGCGAAGATCTACCCAGGATGGGGCAGCAACCATCACAGGACACGCTCACATTCCATTCACACCTATGGGGTAATTTGTTAATTCCAATTAGCTTGTTTTTTGACCGTGGGGGGAAACCAGAGTTCCCAGAGGAAACCCCACTACGACACGGGGAGAACATGCAAAATCCACACACCAAGCCATGGCAGCGGCTCACAGCTGGTCCTGGAGGTGCGAGAAAACAGTGCTAACCACTGCACCACCGTGCCAAGAACTTAATCAATCACTATCACTAATTACTGTCAATATTGATAATCACTGTTACTTTTACTCATGATCATTAATTAATCTTGTATGTCCATAACGTATAAACCAGGGATCAGCAACCTGCGGCTCTTTGACCACGAGGCTGCGGCTCTTCACAGAATGATAGCCGCATTCACATTTTCACGTCTTAACATAATTATGATAATTCTTTCGTAAAGATCAATAATTTATTTATGGGTTAATATTATTTTTCATGTAGGTATTTCTTTAGCTACATATGACAGTCGGTCCACCGTGTGCCTCTGTGGCTTCTTAACTGCATCTTCCTAAAGGTCATTCTCTTCTAGAAGATTACATCTCCGGTCAAATGATATGCTCTCCAGAGTTTTCTTCAGTACCCGAGATTGGATGTACGCTTCAACGTTTCCTAATTTTTTCATATACCTTTTGTAGTAAATTGTCACCACACCTTCCTAGGTCTTTGTGAATATTACTATATTTTGTCTGACTTACAGCTGAGTTTGGAGTGGTGAGGACATTTTGCGCTGCTCGGTCAGCAGTTACAGTAGCGAGGTGGAGAGTGAAGGGCAGACGACTGCAGAGCCGAATGAACTTAACTCAGGAACGGAGGGGTGAGGATTATCACTACAGAGCTGAACACTGCTGTAATATTAGTTACCTTTGTACTGTTACGCATTCTCATGCTTTTCTTTATTTTGTGTAAGTAATTGAAGTTTTGTTTTTGTTTTAAATGCATATATACCCATATCGCATAAAAAAAAAAAACGTATCTCAAACTGTCACGGACCAACCCTGGGGATCCCCGAGTGATGTCAGGAAGACCACGTCTCCGGGGAAACCCCGACCAGGCTTACCTTCCTGAAACATGGGTTTTTCCAGTTCTTGTGCACCCTTGTCTCTCAGCTGACTCCATGCTGCTCTAATCAGTGGAGTCTATTTTAGTTTATCGAATCCTGCACTCCGGTGCTGTAGCTTCATGGTTTGTCCTGAGTTTGGCTGTTTTTTCCTTTCTGTCATCCCGGCTTTCTTGACTCCCCTTCCATACCGATTCCGAGGCCTGCCTGACCCCCCGAACTCCGACAAACATTGCTCGACTTTTGCCTGCCCACTGAGCACCTGCCTGAACCCCCTGATCGCCGACACACATCGCCCAACCCTTGCCTGCTTTTTGATGAGTTTTGTCTTTCAGTTTGGACTTCATTTTGGCAAGACCTCAGTGTCTACCTCACAGCGACTCTCGAGAGTAGCCCTGTTCCGAATAAAGCTGCTTCCCGTTCCCAAATTCACACAAGTGTCCTCCTAACTCTGTATCACTGACACAAACCCCCTTCTCTACCCATTGCGGCTCTTTGTAAAACACAAGTCAGACATTTAGGATAAAATGGCTCTTTGCTTTAAGAAGATTGCTGACTCCTGCTATAAACCAACATTGTAATCAACAGGTAGGTATTTTGCAAGTAAACAGAATATTGTAACCAACAGTTATAATTCTGTGCATATTAACCTGACTGCAAGAATTGACCCATCTGTAAGACAAGATGATCTTGTGGAAAAAAATGTGCGAAAAATTTGATATGGCCAAATATATGAGGTCTGCTTCTCTAGCAACCCCTAGTAACGAGTGATGCCTCAGACTGATAAGGGGCATCTGGCAGGATGCATGGTGAATGGGGCCCCCTGATCATTCCTGGCAACCATAATAATTTCAGTTAAGTTACAAGGTAAGGAGGAAACTCCCCTTGAGCAACTGGGGGGTAAGAGAGGGCTGAGACTGACTTAGCCGGAAGCTGGGCAAAGGAACGTTGGTGTTGAATATTGTGTGAGGGTGTCTTTGATCACGATTAAATATTACACAGCTCTATTAGAAATTTTCTCCTGCCTTTGTGTTTCAATTTTGTAACCACAATTTTCTACATCCTCCATCAGTATACCCAGAAGCCACTTCTACGGAAACAGGATAAATGAAATGCCTCTCTGTGACAGCCCATAATATTTCTTGAATGTAACTGCTCAAAGCAGGATTAATAACAGAACAATCCCAGCTCACATGATTTTTCAACATCTTGCTGGAAGTTAGATATATTATTATTATTATTAAATATACAGTACTCTGCAAAATGCTTACACAGTCAAAAGAAATGTTTAAAGCTGTTTATCTGGATAGTAAGTGCATTTTTGCTCAGAACGAAAAACACAATGTAGCATTAGAACATCTGCAAATTAAGAGTAACAGAATAAAAGCTAGTAAAAATTTCTTCTGTTCTCCCAAAAGTTACTGATATCTAGTTGGATGGCTAGATGAACACCGCTTCAGTTCCCAAACCTCTCCTCAGGGGCACCTCAGACATTCCATTTATTTATTAAATTTCACCCCCAGCTCACTTAATTAATTTTAAAAAGTCATTGAGATATTGATTAGCTATACAAGGTGCGCTAGGGGTCCAGTCAAAAAATACATGGGTGTATTGGATGGTTATTGGAAATAATGGGGTGATTTTAGCAGAGGTTTGGAAACGGCTAAGCTGACACACTTTGACAGGCATAAGAGCATCATTTTACACCAGCATGAAGAGCATTAAAACATTTTCTTTGACTGCATAAGACTTTTGCACAGTAATGTAAATACAATCATCTAATAAAACACTGACATTATGAGGAAGGTAGGAGAAACAGAGGCACGTTTAGTAGATACAGCGACAGAGAGGGATGCGCGATAGTGGTAGCAACGAAAGACATGGAATCATAAGCTGAAGATGGCGAGTGACTGTAGCAGTGACCTTTGGCAAAGCCAATCTGATTGGGGTAATAGCATCAACTAAGAAACTACATCTGAATCTGGAAATGGAGGTACAGAGGAAAATGGGTGAAGCTCCGTGTGAGGAAAAGCAGAGAGAGAGCAGTCTGCAGCTACCCTGGCGTGCGGGAGCTCGTGTCTTTGTCTCAATTCACACATCATGCTTCTGAAGAGGAATATGCCACTAATGGCTGCTGACTGAAGCCATTAAATAATAAATGATGCAAGCAGGGGGAGTGAAGGTCCCCCACCAGCCTGCGACCTGAGTCTGATCCTTCTCTGCGGGGCGGCTGTCATTTGGCCCTTGTCCGACTGCATTGTTTCTTCCATTTAATTCACTCCTGCATGCCAGATTCTTACTTCCTGGGTCCATAATAACTGACATCTTATCAGCTAACTGAGCTTGCTTCTAGCCTTTGTACCTCCCCCTCCTAGTCCTGTGTCACGGCCAAGCAAACATGGGTGACGGTGACCTATTTCTGTGGGACACTGAGGATGACATCATCGATCAAGTAATTAATCCTTATTTTCATTTGGGGGTGTCCTACTCAAGTCTGGTGTCTCCTTTCCCCAATTGCTGACTTTTGAGCAGTTATATACCTTTATCAACAAGGGTCAGACATCCTTTTTGGTAATGTAATATACAGTACCAGTCCTTATACATGTTTGCAATGTTCCATCTCCTGTTTTGTGGGGTCCTTGTATAATAAACCTTGGGAATGGCTCTCATCCTGAATGCTTTTCATTCCTTGCACTTGAGTCTGGACCAGAAGCGTTTTGAACCTGGTGCTTCCAAGACTCCCTTAAATCCTCAAAGCCACTTCTTGCCACTGTTGACATTTCTCTTGGACTTTCATCCTTTGTCTTTCATGCTGGCAGATTGACTTCTACTTCTCCCTTCCTCTCCGAGAAGCCCCTCTGGCCCTCTCCCCTTCCCTGACCTGCAGACCCTGGAGATGCGTGTTGTTGCTATGCTCTGGTGCCACCGGTCTCTCAGCGGGGTGGTGAGGGAAGTAGGGGTTGGTGCTGCCGGTACAGGAGAGGTAGAGCAGGATGACGGTGTTGAAGGGGAACACACTGACGGGCAGGTCCCAGGGATCAAGTAGGGGCCTAAGTCCACTGTGGAGGAATGTGCTGGAGGTAGGACACACACACAGGGGTGGAATGTTCAGGTCCAGAAAGTACAAATCCAGACCAAGATTTTGTTACGGCCAACCAGCTGAGTACTCTGTGAACGTGACTCTTTAAACTCAACTCATTGGTTGAAAAAAAATCTTAGTCTGGTTTTGTACATTCTGATCCTGAAGTTTCCACCTCTGCACACAGAGGGCAACCCAATGTGCGCAGCTTCAACTTCACAAAGACAAATATCAAGAAAACATAAGAAAACCAGAAATACATGCATGCATTGTTGATAAATGTAACAACTTTCGTGTGAAAACCTTTTTGTTATTAATTTTCACAGTGTCTGCAGGTCCGCTTGGAGTGACTCACCATGTGGCTGCAGCAAGGCACCCCGGCACCAGCAGCCACCAGTACCAGTCCCCACTGGAGCTGAAGACTCCCATGAGGAGTGTCACCAACATCCCATTGCAGCCATGGAGACCCCTGGTCACCTCAGTACTGACACAGAGTACATGGACACTCAGAGAGGGGACGCCAAAATTATTACTCTGTTGAAATAAATTCAAGACGATTCAGCTGATATTAATAATACTTGGTAACTTAGGGGAAGATTACAAGACAGGGCTGGTTCAGGTGGACGAGTCCATTCATTCATTCATTCATTCATTCATTCACTCTCAGCTGCATTTACATTTATTTATTGGGCGACGTACAAGTGAAGCAGATAATGCAGGGGTCTCCAACTCCGGTCCTGGAGAGCTACTATCCAGTAAGTTTTCTATCCTACCCGGCTTCTGATGAGCCACACTAGTTCTCAGGTAAATACCAGGAGCAGGTGTGGCTCATCAGAAGCCAAGTGGGACAGAAAACCGACTGGATAGTAGCTCTCCAGGACCGGAGTTGGAGACCCCTGAGATAATATATAACAAGCATACAGCCAATTCTGGTGCCTGTAGAGGGAATTCAGTGACCTATGCAGGAAGGTACCCTGGACCGGATGCCGGTTCGTCGCACAACATGCAAAACTCCTCTGTTTCTTCTTTTGTTCTGTAGCGTAAGTATAAAATGTGTTTGTAACATGCCAGTTACAGTTATATTTATAATGCACTTTTTCAGTTTTACATGATTGGCCCGTTTAGGTAAAAACAGATTCATATTGTCTTACTATGTTTACTATTGTTAAAAATACCCAGCAGCTTGTGGGCCTGAGCATATGGCTCCTGATCCCCTGCATTAGCAGGCGAGAAAGCCTGTGCCAGTATCTGACTCAACAGCTCCATGCCTCCTGCATGTGTTTGTGCAGCCATGTCAGTGTTTGTCGTCATGCTATTAGTTTATTAAACACTTTATTAGTTTAGACAGGACAGGTGCACAAACACTGACACGTAGCAATGGCTGAACGGGGAGCACAAGACTGGGAGACGCTAATTAATCTAACTAACAAGGGATCAAACGCAAAGCAGCTATAGCTGGTTAATAGAAGGGCAGGAAAGAGAGATAAGACTAATGAGCTCCAGGTACAGCTAGTTTAGGGCCACACTCAAAAGAAACGCAGGGAGCAGACAGACATGGCGGGCTGGATAGGACAACAGGCCGTCCCTGGGATAGGAACTTCTGACTTACGAACAGCTCACACTTACAGACTGCCATACAGCCTATTATATTAAACATTTGAGTTAAATACTACAGTTCATAATAACAAATGCATGCACTTTGTGACACTCAGGAAAACTGTGTGGCTTCAGTGGATCGTCAGTTTGAGGTACTGTGATGTGCTATGGAATGATTTTCCTGTCAAATTATGTTTAATGAAATTAAATGAGACTAAAATAAATTTCAGCTGTATGAAGGGAACTGAAATGAGTCGACTGAGGCCAGTAAATTGTGAGCAACACAACACAATGTAGATGCCGTTTATTTTATATATGTAAGGTAATTAAACACCCAGAGCTGGAGGTATGAAACTCACTGAGCTGCCATATCACCCCTTGTGTTGCCAGAAACATGGCATATATGGTCAAATTAAATCTCTATTCGGAGAGCTACAGTATAGCGGCTGGGCTGTGGGCGTCAGCATGCTGCTCTCTGCCGGCTAGGGTGGAGTTTTGGGTTTAGCTACTGTGCAGAAGTCAGCACCGCACGACGCCTGGCACCTGTCCAGCCCGATGATGATGGCAGTGAAGGTGGATGCCAGCAAGCCCAGAATTCCCAGCACAGCCTGCCAGGGGCTCTCCACGAGCAGGGCGGCCAGGACCAGGACTCCGCTCAGGGGGTTGTCCACCATGATGACCTGCGCCATGCCGCGGAAACTCCATTCTACCAACTGCATCGCAAAGGGCTTTTCTGAGGAACATCGAGGTGAAGGAGCACATTTATCCTTGTGTAGAAACTGACATGCCAAATTAACAGTGTAGTGGTCGACTTCGTTTGGGAACGTTATTCTTTTTGGCACAATCTAAAAATTTGACCACTTCTGTGAAATGAACATTGGTAGACTGTTTTTACGCGTTAAAATGGTAGGTTACCAGTCACGGTAAAACAACCGTGTGGCTCCCAACGTCCACGTCTTTATTTTCATATTCAAAACAAAAACTTTATTGCTCCTCTGACACATACTCCTTCCGGCAGTTGCAAACCAAAACTAACCAGAGAAGCACTTTCATGTATAATATGCTACATAAATTTCAACTTATAATGGCAGGTTTAAACAACATATTCCATCCATTTAATTAAACAAAAACTACACCATTCTGCATAAATGGCGCTTACAAACAGTATTTCCTTTTGTAGCAAGAATCACTGCAAAATGTTGTAATATAATTTGGTTGGTGACAATCGGGTAGATCAATCCTGACTTAGGTGCAATGAGGAGCTGTGGAGTTTTAATAAATAAAACGCTCTTATTTTCTTTATTGAATGTCATTTAGCAAAGAGTGTCTTTTTCACCAATGCAGGCCAAGAGCTGATATGTTTGTCTTTGATATGTAGTGCAGGAAACTACATTATATCCATTTATGACGAAGGTTGGTATTTTATTGGAATACCATTTACAAGGCCGCTTCAGAAGAGCCTCAGGGCTAGAAGGAAACATTCTTAACTGCAAAGCTGCCCGCTAACCCACTACACGAGTTTATTTAAAACAGCCCTTTGCTGACAGCTATTTAATTGCATTGCAGCTCTGCCCTGGACCACATTTTGCTGTTATATTTCGCAAAAGCAAGACTGACTGTTTGTAATGTTCCATCACCCTCACTTGCAAACCTCCTCCTGCCTCATGAAACAATGTTTGGTCTCACACCCTCTGCTTCTGCTGTATTTCACCACTGAGGCTTACAAACCTCATATATGAGAAAATTCATTCCGAACATGCAGAATCAGGAAATGTGGCTTTGGTAAGTTTTGGATTGACTAAGCTGATAACAATAAAGGACTGAAAAGGACTGGAAGATAATAGACTGTAAGAGCATGTACACTCTGAATAATCTTGTATGGTCTTGCTCATACAAGTTTATAGGGTGTTAATGTTGTCAGTGGCTTTTTAAAAAATATTTCCCTGCAGTCACTAGAAAAACACTATTATCTTTTTGTTATTATTCATATTTTTATTAAGATAGATAGATAGATAGATAGATAGTGCAGTCTGAGACATACACTGTTATGCAATCTTCCTTGCTATCGTGTGAAAATAATGAATTCTATTTAAAATGTACTTGGAACCACTTTTCTTGCTTATGTTTCATGTAATCTGTCCTAAGTACCCTTTTACAGGCTTTTCTGGTTTTTATGGGCTTATATAAAACGACTGTTTCACATACCATTCATGAGTTTCCGGAACTCGGTCATGTCGCCGGTGCAGTAGAGAAAGGCGTCTCGGATTCTCTGCCGAGTGCCGCTGGCTGGTCTCCAAGCCGTGTCTTTATTTGATTTCCACATTCTCAGACATGCCTTTTAGCTTTGTGGAGAATCCTCCACTGCAGCTGACAGTCAGATGGCTTTTAACGCGGCGGTAATCTTTACCAGTAACTGAGCAAAGTTCTCATTTCTGCGAAAAGTTCAACGAACGTGTCAACACCTTCCCTCACCTCAACCACACTCAGCTGGTTTTCTTCCCTTTAAGTTTTTAACCTTTACGACTTGTCTCAATATCAGTATTTTCAGACTATCCCATATGTGTAAGACTTAGCCATCTACTTTTCCTTGACCAGGCTGCCGTTCTCCAAAACACTGTGTGATGATATTAAAAGCGAATGAGTGGTAGCAGGCATTTGACAGGCAAGGAAAGATCACTGTAAACTCTACTGTGATTATCATACTCTTTTCACTGTGTAGTCAAGCATATGTCTCCGCTTGAGTTAAATAAAAGTGAACCCCTTGTTAATATTTCACAAACCTAACAATACAGTAAGTGTGGGTTATCATTAGTAACACGTGAAGTAGTCATGTCTGTTTCCACATGCTAAGAACCGTTGAGATTATTGAGGTTTGGCTTGTGGAATAGGAGCAGGAGAATACTGAAATAACTTCATAAACAAGTACAAATGTCTGACTTGTATTCTGTGGCAGTACATCAGTATATTTGAAGCACAGTATCATTCAAACGCTTATCAGGATTTTAAGAAAAAGAAACAAGATGTGAAATTATTCTAGCTTTATAAACAGCAGCAAAGGTTTATAAAACCACATAGAAACATTATGAAGTCATTCAAAGTACAGTGTCCATGTATTTTTGTCTATTTGTTTGCCCAAAATCCCAACAGGATCCAGCTCACAGGATGCAAGTAAAGAGCACATGCTAGGAATCTCTCATCACGTAACTGTCCCCGTCATTTCAGAGTGAGCAAAATAATTTCTTTTGAATCTGTGAGTTTGTCAGCTACAAGTACATGTGTCAGTGGTACTTCTGGGCTGAAGCTGAATCGATGCCAAACCGATTTCTGAACTCCAGTTTCTTCCTGTAATGCTAAAACATTTTAGGAAAATTGGCATCTCTGAACTGCCCATAGCTAGTGCATGTGTGTGTGCCCTGCGACGGACTGGCATCCTATTCTTATGTCCTGTATATCCTAGATAGATAGATAGATGGATGGATGGATGGATGGATGGATGACTTTATTAATCCCTGGATCATACCAGGCAGGTACATTTAAATCACACCATAACATTACAATACAATATGATTAAAATAAGACTAAATAAAATAGAATAAAATAAAAAAAAATGATACAATACTGAATAGGATATTGCAAAAGACATGGTGCAATAGACACAAAGCCAAAATACATAACTAATCTGGTTTGGTCACCTCAGGTGTGTCATGGGCAGTTGAGTTATAGAGTCTAATAGCACTGGGAAGGAATGATTTCCTGTATCATTCCTTAATGCAGCAGGTTAAATGAGTCAGTTGCTGAAGCTACTCTTGAGTTTCTCTAGTGTTTTATGGGGGGGTGAGAGGCATTGCCCATAACTGCCAGCAGCTTCGCCAGTATTCTGCCCCTGTCCCCCTCCCCCACACTGACAAGCTTGGAGCCGACAACAGACTCAGCCTCCCTAATGAGATTGTTCAGTCTGCTGCCTTCCTTTGCCTTGATGCTCCCCAGCACACCATAGCAGAGAAGATGGTGCTCGCAACAACAGACTGATAAGACATCAGTAGCATCCTAGTCTTGGTGGACCATTCCAGCTTATTGTCCAATTGAATTGCCAGAAACCTGCAGGATGTTACGGTTCCCACATCTGTCCCACCAATGCAGACTGGAGAGGGTGGGGACTTATTCTTGCTGAAATCCACCATCATCTCCTTTGTCTATGTCACGTTCAACTGTAGCCGATTCTCCCCACACCACCTCACAAAGCGGTCGGCCAGGTCTCTGAATTCGTCCTCCTGTCCACTCTCCACACACCCAACTATGGCCTTGTCATTGGAAAATTCCTGCAGATGACATGACTCAGTGCAGTAATTACAGTCTGCAGTATAGGAGGTGAAAAGGAAGGGAGAGCACGGTGCCCTGGGGGCCTGATGCAACATCAGAAGGTCAGACACACAGCCCTGAAGAATCACAAGCTGTAGCCTACGTGTCAGATAGCCCCCAATCCATGTGACCAGGGGAGCTTCCACCTGCATGTCCTGCAGTTTAGCCAGCAGCAGTCTGGGCAGGATGGTATTGAAGGTGCTGGTGAAGTCAAAGAACATGATGTTAACTGTGGCTTCTGGTGCAGATATGTTACTGCATCCTCCACACCCGCATGGGGCTGGTATGCAAACTGCAGAGGGTTTTGTGATGAGCGCAGTAGTGGCCTGAGGCATGACAGGACCAGCCTCTCCATGACCTTCATTACGTGAGAGGGTAGTGCTAAGGGCCTGTAGTGGTTTGGTGGTGCAGGATGTCCCTTCCTGGGCTCTGGCACCTGGCACCACATGAGGGCTGATGCCATCTGGTCCAGCAGCCTCTCCAGCTGCTTCTCACCTGGCTGGCTGTGAGTCCAGTCTGGCGGGCGGGGGATGTGGCAGAGTCTGAGGTAGAGTCTGTTGTGGGTGTCACAACATGGGTGGGGGGGGAAGTAAAGTCTATAGAGTGTGTTAGAATGGGAGTGGGGGGTGGAGCAAAGTGGTGTCTGTTGCAGGATCTGGTGGCGGGTTGTGGGGGATGTAAGAGTGTTCTGCTGTTTTGGCTTGGAGGAACAGTGGGGGGGGGGGGGGGGGCGGGGGGGGGGGGGGCGGGGGG